AAAAAAAACCCATGATGTTACACCTGGCCTCTCTCTAGCAACTTTTTATGCCTATATATTTAATAGTATCATAATAACAGCAACAACAGTGTGCCATCAAGTCAATTTCAACTTACGGTAACAGTTCATAAAGTTTCTTAGATATAGCATACTCTGAAGTGGTTTACCATTCCTTTCTGCTGGTGGCATTCTGGGGCCATGTTGTTTGTCCAAGGCCACCCAGGTTGGATCTTATCCTACAAGACACAGCATGGGATTGACCTCTCCACCCCCTGCTGAGCTATCCAGCCTTACCAAACTCATGTTGAGTTACGTTTTCTTACTATATGAATGTCAAGTGACAGGCACTGCATCTTTTCATCTTGAGCTTTTGATACTCTTGAGTGATAGCTCTGACACCTTTTATTTAGAACAAACCTGTTGGAAGCAAAACAGACAAGTTACCCGTCACACGCTTGTAAGATTAGTTCAAGATTTTTAATTGTCTGTCAGGCAGTTATACTTCAGAGACAGATTGAATACTTGCTTTGACAGTGTGTCACTTATAGTTCTCCAAAGACCCCTCCATCCATCTGTATCAGAACAGTAGAGTATGTTGTCAAGAAAATATACACTAAAGCTAATTCACACAATGGAATGAAGCCAAGCCTTTCCCACTTTCCCTGATTTCCACAAGTACATTTTTGAAGAGTGCCTTGTGCAGTGGTTGAAACATTGATTAATGGGGGTGGGGGATGGGGATGATCACATCACTGGTCCAGTATGATCCTCAGCCATGAGCACAGCTAGTGGTGATGACTTCTGGGAATTTTAGTCTAAGAGCATCTGGGGACCCAAGGCTGGGAACCACTGGCCTAGCACAATTCCTGCTTAACCAATGAATCCATAAGGTAATAAGGGACTTGACATTCTAGAACTTTTGTTCTCATCTTGCAGTTCTCATCTCTCCTCACAAAACTGACATTGCTTCCATTTTCACCCATTTGCTAATGTCCATTGTTCATAAATATTGCAAAGCTATGGCAATGCCCATCTTTAATAAGGAGAAAAATACTGAGTTTCCCTGAAAATAAGACAGGGTCTTATATTAATTTTTGCTCCAAAAATGCTGTAGGGCTTATTTTCAGGGGATGTTTTATTTTTTCATGTACAACAATCTACATTTATTCAAATACAGTCCTGTCACCTTCTGGTTGCTGCACAATGGTAGAGGGCATTATTATCATACTAGGGCTTATTTTCAGGTTAGGTCTTATTTTCAGGGAAACAGGGCACACATTATTTCATTGTGTACTTGAAATTTTAATTCCAGCAATTTACAAAGAATATCCATTGGGCTGTGAATCTGTGTGACGATTCTCCTTCTATGTTTTCGAAATAGTTTATTGCAATCATTTTTTTAAAAGTGTCATGTTGAGAGAAGGTAGGAGGAAGATCAGTCTGGGTTCAACACATGGGAAGGTACTAGAACAGATTGTGAAAGTTCAGGTTTGTAAGCATCATGACAGAAATGCAACCATTAGTGGAAGGCATCATAAATTTGTCAGGAATAAAAATAGCCAGATTAAACACTTCAAAGAAAATTGGGTTACTAGCTTAGTGGTGTGTGTATTGCAGACATCATGTTCCTACTACAGATGGGATATTTGTTTCACCAGCATTGGTGGCCGGGTCAACTGGACCTTCCCGCCAGAACCTGGCCATCCACTTATCACTTCCAGCACACCGTGCCAATCACAGAAGTAGCCTGACTCAGGCTTCCCCACCTCCCTGCGCTGCTGATCACTCAGCAGTTGAGTGAGGAGACTCATCATCCCATCTCATTGCCAGGTGGGTCAGCAGCACAGGGGGGCGAAGAAGCCTAGACTGGGCTTCTTCCACGATTGGCGCAGCACAAATGACAACAGCTGTGCACACCATGCCGGGAGTGGTAAGTGGATGGCCTGGTTCTGGAGGAAAGGGTCCAATCATCCCAGCCACCTGTGGTAACGATGATATTCGATATCCAGAGGAAATGAATACAAATATCCTGTTGTCCAGGACCTACTACATTGTTTAGCTCCTTTTACTTCACAATCCCTGTGTACAGCCCTTAACATTTTGCATGTGATTTCAAGCACAGGACCTACTGGTCTGGTCTCCCCCCCCCCCGAACTGTGATATTGTTATAACAGATTAGTACTAGGATACTTATAGGGGAAAAACAAAACAAAACAAATGCAACCTGATGAATTAAGAGTGGACAGGGGATTCCATTTGTGTTGGCTATGCATTAGAGACATTTTGCAAAATTGACCATTGCTGGTTGGGGAACAGGAACAAATTGGCAGAATTCTCCCCAGCTGGCACCAGGCCCAGGGGCCAGCAACAGGGATAAAAGGGAGGAGGCAGGCAGAAGGCAGGACAGGGGGCAGAGAAATAAGGGGGGGCTGGGTTGTATATTGAACTGCAGTGTACTGCCCTGTAGTAAGGACACTTGGAACAAGGCTCATTCATATAGTGGTGCCTTGCTTAACGGGCGCCCCATTTAATGATGAAATCGCATACTGACAAACTTTTTGCGATTGCTTTTGCGATCGCATTGGTAGTGGTGCCTCGCCCCGTTTGACGATAAAATCACATACCGACAAATTTTGCGATCGCATTTGCGATCGCATTGCTATGTTTTAAATGGGGAAAAATCGCTTTGCGATGATCGTTACCGTTTCACTTACCGATCATTGCAAAGTGATGGGAATATTTTTCTAACAGCTGATCAGTGGTTCCAAAATGGCCACCGGGTAAAAAAAATGGCCGCCCACTGTTTTCTGGGACGGATTCCTCGCTTACCGGGCAGCGAAAATGGCCACCGTATGGAGGATTTTCGCTTCAAGGTGAGTCTGAAGCCCATAGGACAAGATTGAAGGGGTTTCAATGCATTCCTATGGGCTTTTAAATATCGCATAGTGACAAAATCGCTTTGCAGCGATTTTTGCTGCACCTATTATCGTCGCAATGCGAGGCACCACTGTATTTGACTTTCACTTGTGATCAATAACATTGCACTTAAAAGAAAAAGGAGGCTTCGTGTGGACCTGCAGTAGATCCAAATCTGAACAATTCAGATACTTACGTGTTAGTCACACTTGCAGAGAGGCATTGTATCCTGCCCATAAAAAAGTCATAGAAGGCATTAATTACTTGCAGCACCATGTAAATGGCCATGGTCAGGATTGGCTTTTTGATTATCGGTACTGAGTGTGATAGAGAAGGAATTAAGGGAGGCAATGTCAGTATGAGAGGCTGAAGCTGTGTAGTCTCCAGGGCAGTGGAGTGATGGACCTTTTGTATAGACAGCTCCATGAAAGTTTGGTTGGTATCATAGTGTTTGGGAGCACCATAAGCTTTGAAACTTCTTCTCTGGGCAACAGTACTGCTAGTGCACATACTGGGAAAATGGGCTGCAAGCTATCATGATGTTCCTTGGGAAAATGCTGAGATCTTGGCTAGTGCCAGTGTTTTTCTGTGTAGCAAATTTGGTATTGTGATCTGGAATATTGAAGTGGGCAGTGGGGGAGAGGAGCACTGATTTCATTGGAGAGCTGCATAGACTTGTCCCTAGGTAGGAGCGAGGTTACTTAGTGTAGAAGGAACCAGGGACGGGGGAGAGGAGCACTGATTGCATTGGAGAGCTGCATAGACTTAGTCTACCCTAGGTAGGAGGGAGGTTACTTAGTGTAGAAGGAACCAGGGAAGAATTCCCTTGATCTTGATGGGTATCAATGGTTCCAGAACACTCTATGAGGGTGGAGGAAGTACTCCACCCTCACAGTAAAGTGTGTATTCAGAGTATACTCTGCACACTCTACTGGTGTGCATTCAGAGACCATGAACAAGAATCTTGTCATCTGTGATTTGATAGGAGATTTTGAATTCTCTGCTAGAGTGCTCTGGTGCACTTTCCTGCACCAGAGTTTTTGAATGGACAATTGTAAATCTCTACAAAACCACAAACCCCAGACCTCCATAGGATGGAGCCATGACGTTAAAGTTGCATCAAATTCATGTAAGAATGTACCGTGGATATAATCTGTGGAGGAGGCATCTGTATTGGAGGAATCCAATACAGTATCCACTGTGGAACTATTTGCACAACTAGCTGTGTAAGTAGTTTCACACATGACAATATACCAAGGCAGTATAAGAACAAATGTATCATTTGCAGAAATGAAAAAACTAAAAGAACCACACTTTACTCAGATTTAGGACACTTTCCTAACTGTATGGAAAAATGTTCAGAAGGTAGCCATGCTAGTCTGTTTCAAGATGTTGGCAGAATTAAAGTTTAAAAAAGGAAAAACATGGGGGCAGGGGCGGGCAAAATATTATGGCACCCTGAAAAATAAGAGCTTGATTTCAGTGAGAACTCTCATGGTTTTGCATCTACTTTCTCAGACGCATTTGTAGATTAGAAGAAATGGATTTGGATTCATTAAAGTTCACACTGAAACAAACAGGTATGTAGAACAAGTTTTCCAAAGTCTGGCTTAGGCCACACATAGGTTTTCCAGAGTGTGGCTTAGGCCACTTCTACCTCCATCCTGCATGCACAACATAATAACATTTCAGAAAGCTTTGGTAAATGCCAACATTATATGTTTTATTTTTATCAAGTAATCCTTTTAAACCTCAGACACAAATCAGTGATTCACAGAAATAAAAATGTTAGGCAATAGGCATTAAATGAAAATATAAAATACAGGATATGTAGAAAGGCAATCAGTGCTTCAGTCCAACAATATAAGAGGCAGTACACATGGAAATGAACTTTAAAAAACAAAAATCAACTCACTGTCTTTTAATTCAAAGACTCAAACAATTCAAGTGATCTTTTTAATTAGAACTTGTAAACAAAATATGAATCAAAATGGACCATGAGGTAATCTATATACTACAGAGGACAGCTGTAGAAACACTAGAGAAGAAGACAATATTCAAGACACACAGATATCAAGTGTTCACTCTGGTTATTAAGTCTACTGTGAACAAAACAGATTCAAGCCATTATGGTAATACATGTTAACCAGCTTATTAGATAAAAAGTAGTAAAATGCAAGAGGTAGTCAAAACCATTATGATGTCTTTCCTTAAGTTTGCCATTTTAGGCAAGCAACCATCATAGCTAACGTCCAAGTATTTTCTAACATTCAGCTTAATTCTCATTATGTTGCTCTGCCTGGCACATTGCACCTTCATAAGAAAAGTGGTGTGCTTCCAGAGCAGCTTTAAGCTTACAATCCTAGTCACACAAAGCTGGGCCGCAACCAGTGTTACTGGAGGAGCCTTGGATTAGGGAAGCCCCCAAATGTTCTGCTGTCTGGCCACGTTTGCCATCAAATCTGCTCTTCCACACCCCTCTTCTGAATCTGGGCTTGGAAGTGGGACTGACCAGATGGTACCTGCCATCAGATGGCTGAATTTGGCCCCGTGGCACAAATTCCTTGCCATCCTCCCCGTCCCCTGGTAAATTGCCTAAACTGAAGCTATTGTTCTTATTCCACCGTCTTGTTACTAACTAGTAACGACAGAAATAACACAACCAGCATACCTTTTAAAAAGCTGTCATGAAACAGAACAAGACATTTAACAAGTGTTCAGAAAGCAAACAAAGACAAAATAATCAAATCTTATTAAAGACATCTAGTAAAATTAAACTCAGTGCATCTGCACACACTTACACCTTTACCCAATTACTCTCACATCCTTTAAAACCCAAGGGGAAGAAAAACACACATACATATATTTTTATGATAAAAATTTCTTAGAGATAAATTAATTTAAATTAGCTTTAAGACTTAACGAGATCTTCCCACATTCTTTATAATTTTTCTTACAAAGAAGGTCAAAGGGTCTATAAACAGTTTTATGGTCCTCCATCCACAAAACTATGTCCTAGAAGTAACTTTGGGATAAAGCTAGAACAAATTAAAGTTTTTTCTTTCATTGAGTAGCCTTTACTTGGCAAGTTAATTATATTTTAGAGCTAATTTTCGTACTAAAATGGCACCCAATTACTGGTTCTGTTATCTTTCCCTTTCCAGAGTGGTATATCCAAGAGATGCTATACAAGCGTGCACATAATATTATTGGTCAATTCAGTGGGCACAACCCTTACCAACTTTACTATAGAATCTGGAGAGTCTAATGATGCATTAGTCCATATACTGAGGGCAGGAAGGCTCCAATCTGGGTGTGCGGCAGGGACCCCATTTCAATTAATGAGACATTTTTGCTGTTTCCCAACATTTAAAGATACAGATGCCTATTATTTTAAGACCTTCAAATTGATCCAATTCAGGAATAATAATCTTAACCCAAGAACAAGCCGGCTGCCCATATTTGGTCACTCTGCTCCATAACCAACACCAAGGAAGATGTTAACTTTGTTTGGATACCAACCCATGATTACAACTAAGCGAGGCTGTGTCTACAGTTAACTCTGCCTATCTCTGGCTCTGAGATCCACATGTGGATCTAGGACAGAAGGTATGAAAAGGAGAGCCTGTGAAGTTATCTCAGGACTGAGAACCTAATTGCACAGAGCTCTCTATCACAGTGGAAAACCCCATGCACAGATCAGGCCCCTTCCCCCTTTAGATCTTTTCAATTTATTTACACACTGTCCAGTTGATTCTACCTTATGGTGACACAATCGGGGTTTCTTAGGGACCAAGTGCTCAGAAGTAGCATACCAGTCCCTCCTTCTAGTGGAGCTATAGGGTTGTGTCAATTGACAAAAGGCCACACAAGTATCAGCAAGGTATTGACCACATACACTCCAGATTACTTTGGCTGGGCCCTCTTCCCAGGATGTACAGTACGGATTGGAAGTCACTTCACAGACAGATGCTCTAATCCACAGAGTTATGCCAGCTGTCTTTAGATCTTCCTCCCCCAGTACAGGATAGTTAGTGGGGACATCTCCATGTTCCCATTCTGACAATCACTACTGTGGTTCGTTAAACTATTTTCCTGATTTACATGTTACAGGAAGATGTGAGTGCTGCTTTTAAACTAGAAAAAGAATTGGATCCTGATGAGCAAGCAGTGTTCAAACCAGTTTACTGATTTAGATGCCACAACAAACCAGGATTTCAAAAATCACAATATCATCTTCAAAGCCGATCAAAGCTCATTGTCAGTCTGACAAGCAACAGCTTATTTGACTGACATTAATCTCTGATATCTAACATTTCAACTGGTGTTAATTTCTGACACCAGATGTGGAGCCATAAAATCAGTATTTACTTAGGTTTGCCCAATGCTAGAGTAAGAAAACTGAGAAATGTGTACTTTTATCAGATGCTTTTACAGCAATTGCACAAGCTACACTGTTTAGTGTTACACAGCTCAGCTACTGTATATGATTAGCTTTAAAATTGTAAGTATACTTCATCAGCTGAAATGAGAGAAATATTACAGTCTTTACATTTAAGAATATACCCTAGCTATGTTTACATTTAATTCAAGCAGATTATTTGACCTTTAATAACAGGGAGCAAAAATTAAAACAGAATGGTATGATCTTATTACAAGGCAGAGCTGCTGGAAATTTCTTAGAAAAATCACTTGCTTTTCTGTGTTATTTGTGAAGAGCATCCATCTACCCTTCAAGCAGAAAACCAAATATAAACTTTAAGAGAGACTTTCACACCACTTCAAGCTGATGCATCATTTTGAATTTAAAGAACATAGTTGCCCTCAAATTTGCAATGAAAGCACATTACAGAAACAGAGAATATTAAAAGCAGAAGAGTTGTAAAAAAGCAACAACAGGTATGTACCATAAGTTCAAAAGCCAGCTTTAAGCCTTGAGCAGCCCAAAGATGTTGCTTATATGGTTAAGTATGAGGTAGTTGTTTGCTGTAAACAGAATAACTTTATTACTCCCTATGTAAACAATCTGGCTTCGAACTTCAGGAAGAAGGAGTTTCTCTGCCTTGAACTCTGAAATTCAGCCATATTTGTAACCATCAAGTCAGAAATGTTCACTTTTGTACAGAAATACTGTACTTTCATTTTCACAGGAAAACACAATGCAGTAAATTGAATACAAGTTGTTGGAAACTCATTTTTACATAAACAGAGGTAGTAACTATCACCAGCTCATAACATGTATATAGTAGTAAATAGCAGTATAAAAGGCTTTTTTTCGGGGGGAGTGGTGGTTTGTTCTGAGTAAGCAAGTAAATCTGTAAAAGAAAAAGGAATCACATGGCATTTTCCCTGAGCAAGGTTCTTTGTCCTGAGAAGGCTATTTTGTAATAGTGACCATCCTGCAATATATAAAAATAAAATGTAAACTTCGAATAATAAGACAGGTTTGATAGCCTCTCTTAGCAATTCAGTCTGTGGCTGCTGGGATTATTTATTTCACAATAATAAGATCTAGAACTTTAAAGTATATAAACTGGGGAATGGTTAGTTTGCAAGAATCAAGAAACTTTGGTTTACATTTTCAAAGTGAACTGAGTTTTGCATCATTGCTGTTTAACTCAGTGACCATACCTGCTAGAAGGTTACGTATTGTCACTTTGATTTGTCTACATAACTTAAATAAGTTTACAAACCTTACATAAGGCAAGGAAGTACTCTGCTATACATATCACATTCAGTATCGTCAAAAAAACAACTTTGCATTATAGCACACTGAGAACTTCAGTATAAACCACTGGAATTTTTTCCTCAAACACTGTCATGGAATTCAAGCAAAGTTATATAGATCTGTGCCTGCTCCTCAGGCTTTCGAGACTTAGACATTTCGGGGTGGGTAGGTGGCAGCAGCAGCAGCATTCATAACCATACAGCATTTGGGCAGTTGCTGTGTGGCCAAGAGATCACTCATGAAGGCGTTGAAAGTACTAGCTGACAAGAAGAACGTTGAGTATTTCCTTAACAGGCACATGGTAATCACAACAGCACAGCAGAAGATGATGCTGGTTTGTGATAATTCTTTGGCTGATAGAACAAATGAGTGTCTCTGATCATGGCCAAACAATACGCTGACATGAAACCAATTCTCTAATCTTAATTACATAACTGGGTTGGGCTTTTTTTTTTAGATGAATGCCTCACAAAACTGTTAAATAACATGCACATGACATTTTTGCTTGTGATGTTGCACAGAAATCTGTTCAGTTTATGCAATCAGCACCAGTATAGCCTGGTGAGATGCTGTTGCTACTGCTATTGCTGCTTTCATAACACCTCAAGGTATGCACAAGATACAAAGAATCAAGGTGGTATTTCAATACCCCTCAAACAATCATTTCTATGTATACATTCTCCCTCATAGTCAATTAACCTGCATTTAAACCATATTAATTTAATACAATATTTGAAACATCAGCACAGAAAAGTACACATTCATCGTCTTTGGGGGAGGGGAAAGAGAGGGGAAATCCTTTTTTAAAAAAAAGACAACAAGGAGGCATCTTCAAGGCATTATCCTTTCAATGTGAGAAGTAAAAAGAGAAAATGGTGACCAAGGTAATGGGAGGAGGAAACAAAACCCTCCACGGGACCCTGTAGGGATGTCTTAATATCGTCAGTACCACAACCATGGTAATTTTGTGTAGTAAAGTTTCTTTAGGTTCCCATTAAATAAGAGTTGTCACTTCTTTTTCCTCCTGTTTTCTTCTAAAATAAACAAAGAGTGGCATATTAAAAGGAAAAGATTACAGGAATAATTATTAAAAAATTACTCAAACTATTGCTTGCTAATGAACAATGCATCCAAGGAAATTGAATGTATACATTCAAGACATCAAACACTCAGTTAAAGGGCTAGTTCAGAATCACTCAATAAATCATGCACTTCACTCCCCCTTCCTCTCTTCCAGTATAGCCAAGAGAGCAGAAAATTTTACTTCCATTTTTTTTAAAAAAAACACACAGTTTAGTTTTCATCACCCTATATTCTGAATTGTGATTGGTTTTAACTATGGTCTGTACAAGCCAACTTTATCATCCATTATTTCAGATTGGCTGGTTATCACTGCAAAGATCAGCCAGTGTTTGTTGGGTTTAGACAATACAACAAGCTGTGGTTCATTTTTAAAAAATGAAGTCAAAACCTTCATACATCTCTTTGCGGCTGCTGAGGAGTCAGGGAGTGGGGAGGGGGACACAGTCCCTAACTCTTTGTGGCTCATTTCCATCACAACAAACCATAGTATGTCATGATGTCTAAATCAATTCAGTAAAATACAAGACATTCAGCTCACATGAAATTTGCTTGGAGTGACTGGCCTGCTTTTTGTTTGCAAGAAGACCGCAGTTTTTCAATAGTAGTTAAGAATTTGAGGTCGCTTGTGGAACAGACATGTGACATTACTCTCCTTGTGCTTAAGTGAGGTAGAAATCCCAAGAGGGTAAGGAGATGAAAAGTGAGGATCAAAGCTCTTTTAAGTTTTTTTCCTTTTCTGAATGGAGGGCCCTTTCCGGCTTTGTTCTTCAGGTGATGGTGATACCTTCCTTGAAGCAGCTTCTTGAGGTGATCTGCCTGAACGTTCTAAGGTTTCTGCTTTTCCTTCCTGAGAAGACGGAGATGTGTAGCCATAAGCCCCTCCCACTTCTCTCAGGAATGCTGATGTGGAGGGCTGGGGTTCTGCTTCGTATCTTCCCTGATAACTAGTGGGCTGCTGCGGAACAGTTTTGTGTGGGCAGTTTGCCACCATGTGCGTGATACTCTGACAGTAATGGCACTTCTTTGGCTGTGGAGGTAGAGTACATTCTTTAGCATGATGATCGAGGCCACCACAGTTGTAGCATCTGTAAGATACAATTTTAAAAAAAATTGGAGTGGCTTAGAGGAAAAATGTTTGATCCTCCCTCCCCCTGCTAAGCAGTAAATAAAAAAGGCATTGCAATTATCAACTTTCTATTCCTAGAGAAGACATGGTTGAGACGCCTTCAAAAATAGAAGTGACTTCTCTGTTATTCAAAAGTTCTTGGGTTTTTACCTGAAAGCATATCTACAGAGAGAAAGGTGGGAGTAAATAAAATAAAATAAAATAATGAGGTTAGCAAATCCTGCACTTCATTTTAGAGCAAACATAAGTTTAGCAAAATTCACTCTGAGCTCATATTTGGCTTCTTCATAAGATGGTAATGAGTGTGTTATTTCCTTGCCTCCTTCCAGGTATTAAAGAAACAGGCACACTGGATTTTCTCAACCATTTTCTACTGACCTTAAAAACTGTTGGTGAAACCGCACTATGCATTACCCCAGAAGCTGTCAGCATGTATGTGTTTTGAGGGCTGGCAAGTACTGTATTTATGTGAGAACGCCAGTGTGGTGTAGGGGGAAACGTTATCAGATTAAGAGAGGTGTTCAAATCCTCACTTGGCCATGGAAATGGCAAACTATTCCTCGAACACCTCACTTTGAAATCCCTTTTGGGGTTGACATAAGGTGAAAGTGATGTGATGGCACATAACAACAAGTATATGTGAACATAAACTTAGTGCATGCACACCTATCTATCAGAGTCTGTTATTGGGATATTTGTAATTTCACTTACTACCTGTTTTAGTCCAAAACAAAGAAATGAATAATACAATGTAAACAAAAATAGCGGCAGCAAGCAACCCTTTCTTAAATCCATAGTCAGCAAAAAAAGGCCACCTCTCTAGTCTATAATTCTAAACAAATCACATAAAACACAGAAATGCACAGAATTCTGGATATGAAATACAGAGGTCAATGGTGAGATATATGGACACTAGGAAAATAAAGTGGTCAAGGAAAGTTATTATTTATGCACGGAATAAATATGTATATACACAATACTTTACAGATGAGTAGCACAGCCAGCTGTCTAAGAAGATAAAAATTAGGATATTGTCAGGGAGTACAAGGAAGATGAAAGCTTTTGGAGAGGATAAGCAAGAATAACAGCAGCAAAGAAGGTAAAGCAAGAATAATTGAAGGAGCCAAAGTGGAAAAACACAGACATGAGCATTTAGATTTTGTTTAGGTTTATTCAAGAATAGTCATGGAAGGTCTTCCACACATAAAAATAAGCCTTGAGCAAAAAAGACATTTCATAGCTGTATTTTCATATGGCTACTTGTGCCCTCTTGTAAGACAAGGTTTTTAGCTCTGACAGTGAAAAACATGCCTCTGGATATGATTTACACACCTTGGGTGGTACAATGCCACAGCATGGATCCACAAATAGTTTATGTTAAGGAAGCTTGCCGAAGGAACGCTTTTTGTATCCTTCCTTCCACCTAGCCACTTGCTCATCATCCTACATGTTTTCAATGGGTCCCTGACCCACCAAAGAGGGTTGGAAGATATAGAGGACAAGAAACCCTTACTTCTTCCTCTCTCTGAAAGTAGTACACACTTTGAGATACTGGAAGTGTCAATGAATAGAGAGGTTGTTGGCGGTGGAGTCTATATTCCCAAGGAGATTTAAATAAATCTGCCCTTGTGTTCGTGACATATGGTACCAAAGGTATTGTATGAAACACACACACACACACACACACACACACACACACACACACACACACAAACACACACACGATTAATAATGTTCACAAGATTACTATTGTGAATAAACTTAGCAGAGCTCAAGAGAAAATAACTTGAAGTGTAAGTAGATGAACACAACCTAAATGGCAGTAAGAAAAATACTTCCTTGGCAATGAGTTACTGAGGTAATTCCAGGAGAAAGAGAGAAGTGGAAGGGTGGCTTCTGAAACACCATGCCTTATTTTTTTCACCCGTTTAAACAGAGCCCACTAGAGGGCAGTAAGTATCTAAACATTTGCTTCCCTCATGAAGTTTTCAAACAATTGTTTCTGAACTCCAACACTGTACACAAATACCCACTTCATTGCAAACAAATATCCTGCCTTTGGATGTGTTGGTCTAGGTACTCCCATGAGGAAGAAGTGGAGAAAAGTCATTTAAGCTGATGATGACTGGGCTTTAATTTCTAGCCTCAACTGAGTTTTAGGTTAATAATGCCCCCCCTCCGCCCCTTGCAGGCTGTCCAAGAAAAACGGTTGAGGGAGAGGAGAGAAATATTGGGTAAAATCATGTTGTGTAACTTTGTGCTGATGTGACCTGTATTGGGCACCAGAAGCATTTAATTAAAAGCTTCCTATGTGGCCTTTTTTAAGGTTCTGAGGCTCCCTGGGTTCTCCTATTGCCATGGAAAGCATTTGGGAACCTTGGGGGGGGGGGGAGGAAAGAAAGCCTTTAAAAGTATAACACTGCTGCTAGATCAGAACTCTCAGAGGAGGTTCCTCGTGTTTTTACTACTAAAAATTATCTTCTAATTTACTTTATATGCCATCTTTCCCCCAATAGAGAATGGTTGGTGTACATAAGCCCATGAAACAAAGACTTCCTCATGCTGGCTGCCACGTGTGCCAAGAGCTAAAGATGGGCTTGGCAGCCTTCTCTTACAGACATTCCCTTCCATGCCATTCTCTAAACCTGCACCTCTCCATGTTTTAACAGGTACATAGAGAGAGGGAGCGCAAAAGAACCAAATTTTGATCAGGAGCTCTTTAGGACAGCAGTTTAGGAATCATTTCCCAAGGTGGTTTTTTTTTGGGGGGGGGAGGTACCTAGTTACCAGCCAGGAATTTCTACAACAATGAAATCATCAACTGTGGTTCTGCCAACTAATCTAATCGATCTTTCTCAAATTGACATCTACGTCCCCGGCTGTGTAGGACTGCGATTCCCATCATCACAGCTGAGAACACCAGGACTATAATGTGGAAAGAAAAAACTGCCCACCTCTTAAAATGGGAAAGTCTAGACCAAAGCTACACCAAGAAATGGGTTACCTAGAAGTCACCTCATAGGTACATACAGACTGGAGCTGGCAGAAGGAGGTTTTGCATCAAGAGTTCTCTGTGAAGAACAAGCAATTTCACCTCTGTGTCAATGTACTCTATGCTACTCAACGTGTACTATGGAAATTCGATGTTAGCTGCCTTTTCACTTGGTGGCAATTGTCTATGTTTATTAATCATACCTTGGTACTTCTTTAAAAAAAGGTGGGGGAAAGATGGTCAACATGCATTGGCCATACCCTCCCCAACACATCTGGAGAGCACCATATTAGGGAAGACTGATCAGCATAATGGTTAGAGCTGACACAAGGGAAAATCCCTAAGGTCCCAAGGGGTTTACAGTGATATATTTGTTATTCCTTTCTCAAACTCAGCTGTCACTATGTGAAGAGGTGAAACCCAGGAGCTTCCTGTACCTGGCTGCATGTTACAATTCCTCCCCCTCACCCTGTCCCGAGGCTCTATAGTGACCCTGATATTTTTTGTAAAAGACGGTTTCCATTTAGGCTCCCCACACCATTCTAAGTCTATATAGCAGAACAATCTCAGGGAAAGGTGCCAAGATGCATTTTATCTGGTGGTGAAATAGCCTTTTGCCATATTCTAATCCATTGTTTGTTAGCATAGGAGTAGCTCATGAGAGCAGTCCAGAAACCTAATTTACATTAAATATGAGCAACAGAGAGTCTGGATTTGGCAGAACAAAAATAATTTTGCCTTACAAAAAGTACCAGTGGACCCAATGAGATCTAACTTTTGCAGCTATTTAAAACCAATCACATAACTGTTTTGTCAGTTTGTTAAGAGACTAAAAATATATGCAAATTTTCATCATTTACTATTTCATTTTAAAAAAGCTTTATAAAAGAATTGATTGGCTTGAACAATTTTAAGGTAGAGCTTCTTTATAGAATTTCTATTATACAAAATACAATGGATTAAATTATAAAAATAGAAATATATTCCCTTGCACTTTTTTCTTCATAATCATACACTATTTATGAGATCAACATGCCAGATCTTTATTCAATGCAGTATTAACTTAAAAGAATGGGTTTCTTACATTTTCTTTCCATCGACTGTTTGTATAAATAACAATAATCTCAATGAAACCTCAATTTTTAATTTTCTCAGTTAAGTAAGCATTCTGTTACTTTGACTTTTTCCTTATCTATTCAGATCTACTGAGGCCTTTTAAAACCATCCTCTTCACCACAGCAAGGAAGACTTTTTCTTGAAGAATGTTAAGGAAAGGATTTGATCATGTAGTTTGAAACAGGGAACAAGAAATAGTTAAGACAATGTAAGGAAAGACTGCTACTCTGATCTGCTGAACATAACCTTTAAATATTACTTTGAGCAAAGAAAGAAATCTCTACTAGAAAAGAATCTCTATGCTTCACTTCAATAATAACATGGAAAAAAAACTTTTATGGCAAAAACTTTAATTTAGGCCAATTTTGTTTTGGTTCATGTATATCCAGAAGAGCAGTTATTTCCACATACTCTTTAAGAGCTTCTATAGTAGACTAAAGGGCTTCAGAAAATGAGAGGCAGCAGCTCCTGCCAAATCAGTTTATTCACTCCCTTTGGTATGCACTATTTTATCCAATTCAGTGAATCATTTCACCTTCCCAAATGACCAAAAAACAACTGCCTGGACTTTCGATCCCATCAAGGGGCGCCCATAATCTCTTTCAGATATCATAGATATAGCCTGTCTGTAAATATCCCTACCCCCCCTCGGAAAACCCCATCCATCCTTATTTGTTGTTTGCAAAGGAAACTTTCTACATTCATTGGTACTTTTTATTTTTCCACTATAAAATAGTGTGCATTATAATTTGAAGTTTGGTTGTTTTTGTTTGCCATTAAACAAACAAGCTTTATATCCAAGAAAGTGCATTGTGTTAGGCACAGTCTTCTGCATACACATTGCCACAGCA